TTTTTTTTTTAATGGATGTCAATGGAGGAGAGGCTTCACTACACTGAATAAACAGCTTTTTAGAGGAAACAGCTTATCATTTAATGAATCAACAGCCTATCAGCTAATCTCCAACATGTTTTACACTAAGCAATACACCGAAAAAAATGCCGGTTTAAGTCACTGACTTTTTGCGACAGGTGGGATTCAGCTTACAGCATTTCTCATTCATTCCTATTGTATCCGAAACGGCGATTGAGTGTCGCACAACTCTGACTGAAATTCAATGACGTCAAGGCTGTAATGTGATTGGTTATTAAGGGACATGTGATCCAAGTTGACCGTTACACTTTCTCCAATAGTAAGTAATACAGACCCTCTCATCTCCCTATAGTAAAACAATCTCTGCTAGTAAGACCTGAATTAGCTGGTTCAGGTGTGTTTAATTAGGGTTGGATCTAAACTCTGCAGGACACCGGCCCTCCAGGACCGAGTTTAAAAACCCCTGCAGTACAAGGTCCAATGCGCGCTTCAGTATTTGCCACACAAAGCAAGGGTACACGTGTTCTTAAGTTTTTCACTTTTCGACTTTATGTGCCGTCTTTCTGAGTTCTATGACACCCGCAACTTGATATTTGTTGGTAAATATGCTATTTTCTGTGTGGTTGAGTGATTTAGGCCTAGGTAATATTTTTATATTATAGTTGTAATATTTGAATACATTGAATACATCTGAGGATGTGTGTTGCCATTTAAACAGTCAAGCTGCCCTTACTTCTGTAAGATGTTTCGCTGACTGAACTTGTCACTAATTAAACCTTTGTATCATAATGTGAAATTAAAAATGAAAATGAATTATGAGAGTAACAAATAAAGTTGGGATCACTAAAATGTTTTTTAAAGAAATTAATACTTTTATTCAGCAAGGATGCTTTAAATTGATCAAAGGTCACAGTAAAGACTTAGGCCCCATCCACACGGAGACGCGTTTAGCTGTATACGCATACATTTTGTATCGTATAGGCGTTTCGTCCAGACGGATACGGCGTTTTGGGAGAGTGAAACCGATATTTTTTGAAACCGGGTCCCAGAGTGGATAAATCTGAAAACGCCGCCCTTGCGTTTTCGTGTGGACAGCGAATCCGTATATTTTCTGAAACGATGACATCATCAGGCCATGTCTCGCCCCTAGTCAGACACCGCTACGTCACGTAACAGCAACAAAAACATGAACAAACACTGAACGATTGTCTTTTTATTAACTAACATTAACACAGATTAATAAATGTATTGTTCCATGTTCGTTTGTATACCGCACGCAAGGTTTATGCGCATAGTCCAAGTCTTCTTCTCCGTTTTTAGTGTATCTCTGTGGCAGAATTACAGCGCCACATGCTGGTCTGGTATGTATACTACATCTTTTTGTTTCGGTTTCGTGGTTTCATGTGGATGCAGATATTTCTTGAGACAAGGAGAAAAAAAAGATCGGATAGGGAAAGCTCTGGCTTCGTGTGGACGTAGCCTTATATTGCTATAAAAATTATATTTCAAATGAACACTGTTCTTCCCAACTTTCTATTCATCAAAGAATCCTTCCACAAAATATATTAAGCATTACCACTGTCAACATTGATAATATTAATAATAATAATGTTTCTTGAGCACCCTGATTCAGTGCTTATTAGAATGGTTTCTGCAGGATCATGTAAAAACTGAAAACTGAAAATTCAGCTTTGCCATCACGGGAATAAATTACTGTTTTACTCTATTTTTGATCAAATATCTGCATTAAAAAATCGTATTGACCCCAAAGTTCTGAACAGCAGTGTGTGTGTTATTTAGGAGGGGGGAGGGGGAGAGCCTAATTAACATTTAATTAGGCTCTCTGAAATGTATCTAAATAAGTCAGTAAAACACATTTATATCGACAGTTCAATGGCAGTCATCAAAGTAAGTTGTGCATATCTAGTAGGTGGAGATCAGATGTTGTTTGTCGCTACGGTTCACAGGGTCACTTTTCTGACAAGCCCATTTGATGTTTCAAGCTCTGGTGTGACAATCATTACTGGGTGACTGACTGTCAACAAAAGGAGAGAAGAGAGCCATTCAAGATCCTGATAATAACTCCAGCCAGGACAAGGCTGGCATTCTCTGGGACTCTGATATTCAGACTTCTTTGCACACCTATAAGAAGGGTGTGTTTCTTTGTTTTTGGAAGTAGGAGCTGCTTTTAAAATGTTTGATTGGCCAGTGCTTCATCCAAGTATGGGTTGAGGTTTTGGAAAAAGGACAGTAAAATGTTCTGGAAAGAGAAAAATTCTCACTCTGATTTTAGTCCTCTAAACATACCAGTGCTTGGTGTATTTTACAACCACATTGAGAGGGTTAGCATGCCCTCATGCAACACATGTAGGAAAAACTCTCCACACCTGTCAATACTAATAATTCAGAGTAAAAAAAAAAACAACAAAAAAAATCCTCATGGCACTTGTAGGCAGATTTGCTTGAGTTTCCACAATTAGTACCAAATATCTCCCACATCTGAGATGCATCTCTCTTTGATTATCGCTAATGATGAAAGTTCACCAGTCATATCTGCAATCTTTTTTCTTTAAAAAGTAACAGTCCATGTTATCACTCGTAGATCTCTGTCAACCATCCCAAGAGGACGAAGACTCAGGACTCAGGAGCTGTTGATCAGATAGACTGCTCACTTATCACTGATTTGATGGCATTCTGGTTATCTCGGCCACCTGTGTCGGAGGAATCTAGCAGGAAGTCTGTGGTTGACATGAGAGTTTCATAGTATGTTGCATATCTGCAGTGTGATGGTGTGATTCACCACAATCTTATTTCAAAATAAGCCAATAATTTGGGAGTGGCAAAATTAGCTAAGAATAACTAGTCCATAGAATGTGTTATGGAAAAAAAAAATACTGGTAACTCTTGGAATACACTGCTTCAGTGTATTCAGAATTTATGCTGATGCCATTTATCATTAGTTATAAATGTCAACTGACCTCTGTCTGAAGTGAAACGGAGACTGAGTTGGTGTTGGCAGTGGATGTGGGTGATGGAGGGGGACTGGAAGAGTCTCCGTATGTTAGCAGGAGAGAGAAAACAATTAATAATGGGAGCTATTAGGGGGAGCTCGTCGACGCAAAGAGGGAGGTCAGGTTTCAGGCCCTTTTGGAGGACTTTGATGGTACAAAACAGGCCTCATTACTGAGATATTATCTCTATTCATACACTTCCAGAGTTGATGGGAGCCCTGCTGGGAAAGATTAGGTTCCTTTCACATGTACTCAATACTTGGTAGGGGCTCCTTTTGCTTTAATTACTGCCTCAATTCGGCGCCGTAACAGCAACAAAAACATGAACAAACACTGAACGATTGTCTTTTTTATTAACTAACATTAACACAGATTAATAAATGTATTGTTCCATGTTCGTTTGTATACCGCGCGCAAGGTTTATGCGCATAGTCCAAGTCTTCTTCTCCGTTTTTAGTGTATCTCTGTGGCAGAATTACAGCGCCACATGCTGGTCTGGTATGTATACTACATCTTTTTGTTTCGGTTTCGTGGTTTCATGTGGATGCAGATATTTCTTGAGACAAGGAGAAAAAAAAGATCGGATAGGGAAAGCTCTGGCTTCGTGTGGACGTAGCCTTATATTGCTATAAAAATTATATTTCAAATGAACACTGTTCTTCCCAACTTTCTATTCATCAAAGAATCCTTCCACAAAATATATTAAGCATTACCACTGTCAACATTGATAATATTAATAATAATAATGTTTCTTGAGCACCCTGATTCAGTGCTTATTAGAATGGTTTCTGCAGGATCATGTAAAAACTGAAAACTGAAAATTCAGCTTTGCCATCACGGGAATAAATTACTGTTTTACTCTATTTTTGATCAAATATCTGCATTAAAAAATCGTATTGACCCCAAAGTTCTGAACAGCAGTGTGTGTGTTATTTAGGAGGGGGGAGGTGGAGAGCCTAATTAACATTTAATTAGGCTCTCTGAAATGTATCTAAATAAGTCAGTAAAACACATTTATATCGACAGTTCAATGGCAGTCATCAAAGTAAGTTGTGCATATCTAGTAGGTGGAGATCAGATGTTGTTTGTCGCTACGGTTCACAGGGTCACTTTTCTGACAAGCCCATTTGATGTTTCAAGCTCTGGTGTGACAATCATTACTGGGTGACTGACTGTCAACAAAAGGAGAGAAGAGAGCCATTCAAGATCCTGATAATAACTCCAGCCAGGACAAGGCTGGCATTCTCTGGGACTCTGATATTCAGACTTCTTTGCACACCTATAAGAAGGGTGTGTTTCTTTGTTTTTGGAAGTAGGAGCTGCTTTTAAAATGTTTGATTGGCCAGTGCTTCATCCAAGTATGGGTTGAGGTTTTGGAAAAAGGACAGTAAAATGTTCTGGAAAGAGAAAAATTCTCACTCTGATTTTAGTCCTCTAAACATACCAGTGCTTGGTGTATTTTACAACCACATTGAGAGGGTTAGCATGCCCTCATGCAACACATGTAGGAAAAACTCTCCACACCTGTCAATACTAATAATTCAGAGTAAGAAAAAAAACAACAAAAAAAATCCTCATGGCACTTGTAGGCAGATTTGCTTGAGTTTCCACAATTAGTACCAAATATCTCCCACATCTGAGATGCATCTCTCTTTGATTATCGCTAATGATGAAAGTTCACCAGTCATATCTGCAATCTTTTTTCTTTAAAAAGTAACAGTCCATGTTATCACTCGTAGATCTCTGTCAACCATCCCAAGAGGACGAAGACTCAGGACTCAGGAGCTGTTGATCAGATAGACTGCTCACTTATCACTGATTTGATGGCATTCTGGTTATCTCGGCCACCTGTGTCGGAGGAATCTAGCAGGAAGTCTGTGGTTGACATGAGAGTTTCATAGTATGTTGCATATCTGCAGTGTGATGGTGTGATTCACCACAATCTTATTTCAAAATAAGCCAATAATTTGGGAGTGGCAAAATTAGCTAAGAATAACTAGTCCATAGAATGTGTTATGGAAAAAAAAAATACTGGTAACTCTTGGAATACACTGCTTCAGTGTATTCAGAATTTATGCTGATGCCATTTATCATTAGTTATAAATGTCAACTGACCTCTGTCTGAAGTGAAACGGAGACTGAGTTGGTGTTGGCAGTGGATGTGGGTGATGGAGGGGGACTGGAAGAGTCTCCGTATGTTAGCAGGAGAGAGAAAACAATTAATAATGGGAGCTATTAGGGGGAGCTCGTCGACGCAAAGAGGGAGGTCAGGTTTCAGGCCCTTTTGGAGGACTTTGATGGTACAAAACAGGCCTCATTACTGAGATATTATCTCTATTCATACACTTCCAGAGTTGATGGGAGCCCTGCTGGGAAAGATTAGGTTCCTTTCGCCAGTGAACATCCCACATGGCCGAACATATTTTCTCAGCTCAGGGCGCAACCGGCATAGCATGGCATCATGGGAGCTAAGCAGAGGCCTATTGATGGCCAGCAATGTGTGGAATTAGAGATAGTTACCTTTTCTGTGAGGTCATGTCAATCAAGATTAAGTTTCATATGTTTTGTTTGTTTATTTTCCAGTTCATTAAATACAGAGTTTTTCAAAATCTGTAAAATGTATAGCATTTAAGACAACAAAAGAAAGAAAGAAAGAAAGAAAAGAATACTAAAGTTGGGGATCAGTTAGATATTTTTAATATTTATGATAGAAGTCTCTTAAGCTTACCAATACAAAATTTATTTGATACAAAATACAGTAAACAAGTAATAACAAGTTATACAAGTAGTAAAAACAGTAATATTTTAAAATATGAATACAATTGAAAATAATTATATAAAAATATTTTTAAATGAAATTTATTCCCATGATTGCAAAGCTGATTTTTCAGCAATCAAATTCCCCACTCTTCAGTGTCACATAATCCTTCAGAAATCATTCTAATATTTGCCGTCAGCCATGTTTAGGATTTATTGAAAGGTTTAGAGCATGACATTGTCCTGATGTGTCCTGAATGAAAGAGCTGTGTTGTGAACATGCATTGAGGTACTAACATCCACATATTAGTTTAAGCAAGTTTATCATCACATCTGACATTCGTATGGGGACAGAACTTTGTTCTTGAGGTTCCAAGTGCAACATCTTACAAAGAATCTAATTACCATCAATTTCCAAGGAAGCGGGGGCTGATGTTATGGACTTCCGGGGTCATTGAGGCTGCTGGAGGGGCACAAGATTGCTCATACTGTATCTGCATGGAAGGGTACATCTGTAAATTTTGACAAGTAAGTAAAAAAAGTAGGAACAAAGCAAAGTTATTTAAGTTTAGCTACAAAATCTTGGCTATATTGTCAGTGTTCACTTGTAATATGTTATCTGGTGACTTTTTGGGGGTTGTTGCTGGGCATTGCTATCTGGTTCCTATGTTCTGAGCAGTTTTAAGAGCATTGCTATGTGGTTCCAGGGGTGTTTTCTGGTGTTGTTTCTTTGTGGTCAAAGTCAAAATAGTCCATCTCTAAGATTCTATCTGTGATATTCCGGCCCCTAGATACAGCTCAGGTAATCCAGCAATCATAAATCACATATCTCATCACTTAGAAAAGTAATAGCATACCTCTTCTGAATGATCTATGATCAGAAGTATTATTTATTTCTGTAGAATTAACATAGCAGGATGAGCTCAAAGTTTAATATTACAGTTAGGGGTTTGTTCAAATCCCTAATCTTAAATATGGGCAAGTAATAGTTATTCTTGCCTTAGAAAGCTTCATTAATTAAAACTGCATCCACTTTTACAGCCTTTTCTCAGACTGTAACCAGCTGTATAGCACGCAGCATGACAGTGATGGGCACTTTTCTGTGCCATCCGTTTTTGTGAGGAGCATAAACGTTGGCGGGGAGGAGAGAAATTAAAGGTAGGGGTCCACTTTAGTTAGGTTTAATTGGGGATGAAGGACTAAGATGTATGAGACTAGAAAAAAGACTAGGCTTTGAAGTACAGTAGCAAGAAACCCAACGGCAGATATGCCCAAGCAGATGGAAATTACTGCAGGGAGCTGAAAAAGACTGCAGACTACTGTCTCCATAGACTTTTATAGGCTAAGTATGAGTGCTAAAGCTTCAGAGTACTGTTAGTTAACTAGCTACAAAGTGTGAAGTGACTGACTCTTCCCGGTAAAACATACTCTTCAAGATCATTTTCATCCTCTGCCCCTGGGCAGCACACTTCATTGAAACCAGGAGGATTTGAAAAGTATGTTAGTCTTTCAGAGCAGAGGTTCGCTCAGACAAATGTGCCACCGCATGCCACTCATTTGAGTAAAGCTCACAACATCTTGAACACAGATAAACAAGGAAGCTGTAAATATTTTACTTGGTGTCCTTTCAGAAAATGAACACTTTTTAGGCTCCCAGCTGTTCATGAATAAAATTTCAGAGTCATATTTACCAGGTCGGAAGCTGACTCAAATGTCCATTGGGACTGTCAACATAAAAGTGCTATTACAGGTAAGGGAGACCTCATTTTTTCTGCTCAAATTTATAATTTTTTAAAGTGGTTATAAAGACTTAACTTTACTTCTGTACACAATAAATTGGGTGTGTTTATCACCTGTTATTTACCTGATGATTAACCTCCACAGACACTGCAGTAAATCACTTGTGATGGCAACAGTTTATTTTGGTTCAGGGCGGGATGTAAAATGATATGGCACATCTGAGGATGATCAGTTTCCTGAAGGGAAATGAATGACAGTACGATAAAAGGTAAACAATATTGAGAGTGACATTCACTTAAAGTGATTATGAATAATCCAGGCCCCACCCATCTCCTCTCAGTCACCCAGATGCAAGCCCTGCCCTGAACAAAATGCAGGAAAGGACTAAGCCACCCCACCAAAGAGCAGGCAGACAGCAAGGCACAGAGAGTGAGAGAGAGAAAGACACCCATTTACAGCTTTACTGCCTTATTCAGTCCGTCAGACTTGCTCTCACTGCCACCTTTATCTTATCCTCTCCCTCTCTTTCTCTCTGTAGTCTTTTTGAATCTTTCTCTCTCACAGACACACACACACACACACACACACACACACATTGAAATACACTCATTCAACTCAGCTCATTCACAGGCACGGGTCAGGCAGCCTCACATTTCACCTTGCTCTGCCCCTGACTGAGAGGAGAGAGCCCTGCAAGGTGCAGCCATCACACAGGACACAGGCTCCCTTAACTCTGTCAGGTTGGACTGAGGGACCTGGATGCTCCTGGACAATCTAACAAGATCAAGACATTTCTTTGGGATGGAATTTCAAAGTTCTCATTCATCATTCTGAAGAGCAAGACCAACAGACAGCTGGTTACAAGACCAAAGAGAAACACTTGAGTTTGAAATTGGTCACTTTCTTTTTCAAGGATTTTTTTACCCTCTCTTCCCATGTTCCTGCTTACGGTTCTGCGTGAGGCAGAGTGCCCAGCGAAGACCCTCATCATGCCGACTACTTGTGCAAGGTGCACCTTGGGAGTCTGACCCATCATGTGCAAATGGACACCTACTACCGCTGGTCTCCACTCCGACCTCACCTTCGCTGGCTCAGCCCTCCCTTCTTATCCTTTTTCTTTGCTATGCCTGTCCCTGCTCTTTCTAGCTTGCTCTGCTCTTGGAGGTTGCTCACCTACACTGGGCCATGACCCCCTTCATGCGCTGGCACAGGGCACAAACTGCTCGTGGACTCTGGAGCGGCACACGCGCAGCTACAACCACCTCGAGGGTGACGTCCGTCTTCGGCGCCTCTATTCCGCCAACAAGTTCTTTCTCTGCATCGACAAGACGGGCAAGGTGGATGGCACACGTCGGAAGAATTACCCTGACAGTGAGTAGACGCCCAGTGTTTGTCTCCATTCATGTGTTCCTGCAGAAAGGGAGTGGGGCTCATTTGGTCTTTATGATCTTCCATCGACTCTCTTATCACTTGTGGTTTATGGCTCTTTTATTCCTCTGCTCGTAGGGTCAGACTTTTTATTATGAGTATGTGCAAAGGTTTTGCTAGGTAGGATTTGTAATACGCAAAACTTTTCATTGGAAAGTGTAGGTCCTTCACTGTTATACTGGCTCACAAAATACTACAATTTGAAATATGGTAGTCTGTCTCAGCCCCAGAGACAAAAAAACTTTGTATGCAACTTTATATCTCCTAATTGCGACTTCATATCTCACAATGTGTCTATTTCTTGTTACTTGTGTCTTCTTGTTATTGTGACTTTATGTCCTAATTTGTCTTATTTTTTATGTATATCTATTGCCCATTTAATTTTTTACTCAGAGGTGGAAACTGGCTTCTATATTGTAATACGTTTGAGCAGGAGGATTTAACTTAAAACTGAAAAGCAAATCCTTCAGTTTTAAACAGAAAATGTAAACACAACTGTAAATTTAACTGGCAGTTAAGTAGAGTGTCAAATTCTCATGCAAGTTCAACATGAATTCAACATAAATGTTTTGTTGTAGAATCTTAAAATGTACACTGTACACCGTCAAAAAAATTATACCATTAGGTACAGTATAATGATTCTGAATAATATAACTGGTTCATTACCCTAAAAGGGATGATGACTTTGTACTCCTAAAAGGTGTAAATTAGTACCTTAGAGCATTAAATGTACTCCTAAGGTTCTACTATAAATAATTTAGGAATATATATAAGGTACAAAGATGTCCCTTTAAGGGTAGTGCCCCAGTGGCGAGCTGTTGTACCCCTTAAAGGCACAATATGTGATTATTTGTTTATTTTGAATACGCGCCCTCCAGCGGCGAAAATTACATATTGTGCCTTTAAGGTATAACTTTTGCACATTTTTTTCTAGGAATGTATTGTATATACTTTTACACTTTAATATTTTAGCCCTGCTGAAAATTGTGGAAGTTAGCATTTCATTTTGATATAGCAGGTGCAGTTGGTCTTTAGAAACCCTACAGTGATAAATAAACCAGATGTTCCTTAAAAATCGCTTCTCTCCTACCTCCCAGTTTGATTCCATTATCTTTACACTTTTCCAACTGGAGTTTTACTCTATGTTATCCTGTGTCAGGGTTCAGCAGCAGCCTTCCATTAGTTTGAATTTGGGATTTAACTGGTCTGGGTCATGGAGATCACAGTGGGTTGACCCTGGCTGTTGTGTAAGTGTGTGTTGTTGCAAAAGCGAGTGAGTCAGACTTTTTTTCCAGGCAAGTTGCTTTAACTGCTCTGCCACTGTGCAGATCTTAACTGTTGCATGACATTTGTTTAAAATTTTCTGCTCTCCACGGTTGTATCAGATTAGCTTAGATGCTTGTGCTTGGTACAGCTGGGTGAAATTGTACAGCCCTCAGAAGCAATTTGCTTGCACATTTACTTACCATCCTCTCATTTCCTGTCCCTGAATTAAGGTCCTTTTTAGCAAACAGGGTCCCCTTTACAGAAAGGTATCATGCATGTACTAGTCTTGCAGAATTTCTCAATATTGCATTTCCTTGCCTTCTCTTTTCTTTCAGGGTTCACATTAGTAGAGGAAATTTTAGATTTTCATAAAAAGGGCTGTGAAATACAGGTTTCATGACTCCGTTCAGCAAATTCAGAATCAGAACTGTTCTTTGCATTGATTTTGTTAGTGTTGCTTTGCTGCTGTCCATCTTGTCCTCTGCATAGACCTCAGCGTCCGTCAACACTGCTGCGTTGCCCAAACATCCCCGCACTGACTCTCCCTCTCACTTTTTCCAACTCCCGCCCCCAAACTCTCAGGTGCAAAAACAGTTGGAATTAGTCAACGGGCCCTTGGATAATTGAGGTAGGAAAATATTGTATCAATCCCAGTGAACTGAAGAATGGAACAGCTGAGAGAAGAGGCTTCGATGCAAAGGACTGAAAGAGAGATTGAGAGGTAAAAGGATGTAGGGGATATTATTGCATTTGTGCAAGTGCTTTTGCATTGAGCAATACAAATTTCTGGTACTTTTGATGGCACTACAAAAGCGGACACAGTCCCAATCCCTTCACCAGCAACTATTCTGCTGTTGCATAAGCGTGACGCTGAAGGAAACAGACAAGAAAAAAAAATCTATTAAAGTCAATTTCATGGTTTCACTAGCCTCTCAAAAAAAATTGGTTAGTGGCAAATCATCTACATAAACATTTACAATTTATATCTTGCTTGAATCTCCCATGAATGGAGATTTGCTTTTCACACATAATGGTTTCAGCATCTACCAGCAAAGACAAGCTAACCAACCAAACTTTGTGGAGACCCATGTGAGAACCAAACCTTGTGAGATCCACCTGCTATCAATATATGCCTTCAATTTAACATCAAAACTAATTTTGATAAAGTGACGCTGTCCATGAAATGAATGTTAGTTTTCTTCAGATATGTTTTTTTCTAACAAGTAACAAATATAGTAATGTAGTCTACAAGAAAAACTAGTAGTTTAACAAATTTTCTCTGAAATGCATGGACAAGAATCTATGAGTAGAAAGAAAAATGGAAATGTCAGACTTCGAAGGTAAATGTAACTAACCATTTACCACCACTTGATGGGTGGTGAGTGAGAAACTAAATAAATCTTAACCCACTGTTTTTGTCTATTCTTGTCTTTGCCAAGGTTGTTTTCTTTTACACTTTTCACATTGCAGGTATTTCTAAAATATTGCTGGCTGACAAAACCAGCTTAGCTCTTTTTTCCCCTTAACATTTGGCTTTAAAAAGAACACTGTTGAATTCTAGGGCGTATGTGGTTCAGGACATCAAATGCTTGACTTGAGTCCAGGCAACAACACCGCGCTTAAGGAAATAAAGTCATGCAACAGGCATAATCAGAAAAGTCACTTTTGCTAAAATATGGCCATTTTGCAGTTTGCCAGGCCTTTTCCTCCATCTCCCATTTTCTCTCGCTCTCCTTCTTCCATTTCAGCTGTATTTACAAGAGTTGTGTCATGTTTACCAAGTTTCCCCTCACTTTTCTGCATCTTGCTATAGATGTTACCGTTTTCCCTTGCCGTGATTTCATAGGTGTGTTGAGCTTGGACCTAAGTCACGGGAAGAAAATCATCCACCCGTTCTGAATATATTGTGGAATTATTTAAAACATATTTAAAAAAGAGAGACTGTCAGTTCATAGATGCCAAGAGGCCACAGAAGAGAGATTGTGCACTACTGAATGTTGGCACATAAACCTCTGTAGAATCATGGGAGGTGAGAATAAATTCACAATGTAATTTTTATCATTGTATCAGGTCTGCATATGTGTTATATGAGAATTTGGAAGAATTACAGACAGCTGAATTTAGAAAATGGATCAACAGTTCTCCAGAAGTATCCAAATGATATGAAACAGTAAAGTACTTGAGTTCCTCAAAAAAATGGGTTAAAGAGTGAGAGAAGGCATGTACTCTACTAAAGACCTTTTATAAGTGTATAGCGTTGAAGCTCCTGGTCTGTGACAGTTTAAGTGGTAAGGGCACATGGGTGCTAGGTGATTCCAGACGCTTCTGGAAAGTCTGGGAATGTTGCTTACATTTAGCCTGTGGGGGCCTCTTGGACATATTGGTGCCAGGAAAAAAAGAAAATCCTACAAATCCTGCCTTTTTAATCCTTCCGATGGACAGTGGTTCAGAGTATAGTGAGAAAATGCTCTAAATCCCTCTCTTGCCAGGTGTTTTTGGCCCTGGGACGATGAAAAAACAAACAAACTGACACACACTCTGAGTGTCACAATATGCTAGAGCACGGGCACGAAGAAACGAGGAGACGTGGAGATTTCACAAAAACAGGAGTCTTTAATAATCCAACAGGGAGTCAAAGAGCACAAGGAAGACGTTTACAACAAGTAGACCCGACAAAACCAAACTGAAGAGACTGGGTCTTATAAACACACGGCACTCAGGGGAACACAGGTGCATGGAATCATAAAGTAATCAAACTAAACAAGAACAGGAAAAAGACCATAAAAGGAAACACAGGAAGAGCTACGGAGGCAAAACGGGTCCAAAATCTGACATTCGCCCCCTCCCGGAAGGTGTGTCCTTGCACCGTAAATACAACCGAGGGAGGGATGGGTGGGAACTTGGGAGGAGGCTCAGGAGGAGGACGGACACCTGGGAGGGGGCCGGCAGACAGAGTCCATGGGGGTGATGAAGGAGAGAGGAGCCAGGGAGGAGACAGGAGAGGCTTGGAGCAGGATGAGCCAAGCTGGACCCAGGCCACAGCCATTACGATGACCCACAGTGGAACGGGAGCCCCCTCAGGGCTGGACGGGACCAGCGGGGACAAAGGAGAGAGGAGAGGGGCAAGTCGACCTCCAGATCTGTTTCCCAGTCAATCAGGTCCCCTTCTAAGTCCAGCAGTCCCAGATGTATAATTAGCTCACCCTCAGCCGCGGTGCAGTGGGCGGATCTCCACTCCGCGCTCTCACCGTCTACGGCTTGCTTCCTCGCTCGTTTACAACAAGTAGACCCGACAAAACCAAACTGAACAGACTGGGGCTTATAAACACAGGGCAATCAGGGGAACACAGGTGCATGGAATCATAAAGGAAAAAGACCATAAAAGGAGACACAGGAAGAACTACGGAGGCAAAACGGGTCCAAAAGTCTGACACTGAGAGTTGCAGAGCTAAAATGCCCTAATTTTTCTAACCTATTCTCTTTTCAAAGGCCAGTTTTGATGTCATGAATGGATGAAAAGATGTGTCGCAATTAGTAGTGTGCAGCTAGGTGCAAAGAAGAGCTAAGTAACTACTTTAAAAGCCTTTGCCAACTGATTGAAGACGTATTGCAAGCGTTAATCCCACTACAACCAAAACACACCTAACTCTTTTAGCAAATCAGGTAGGCCTGGCAAA